TTTTTCTTCTCGCAGACTGCAAGAAGAAGTCTACTACGAAAAGTCAAATATTTGGTCAAATGCAAAAATAACATTTTTTCTAGAAGACTTCAACGTGAAATTTTCCCAGCGGACTTTGAACGGATGTCTGCATTTTTTAAAATTTTTAAAATGCAATTTTATAAAATATTTGTAATGTTTTTATTTAATTTTTTAAAATTGTAAATGCATTTTAGGTATGATTCTTGCACCTGTATGAGTTTGATGTGTTTATGTGTTATAAATATAAAGTTATGAATTTTCTTGATTTAAAAGGTAATTAGCACATCTAAGCAGACTTCTAAAAGAAGTTTGTAGACGAAATCTGCTGTTACGTATTAGTACATCATGGCAGATTGCATATGAAGTCTGCCTAATTATTCTTCTTAAGAATTCCATTTTGAAATATTTGTTACTTGTAAAAATGATATTCTTGTTTTGACATGTTTATTTGTTTTTTGTGTTGCATCTGTATGAGTTTGACGTGGTTATGTGTTATTTTTATAAAGTTATGAATTTTCTTGATTTGAAAGGTAATTAGCACATCTAAGCAGACTTATAAAGAAGTCTGTAGATGAAGTCTGCTGTTACCTATTAGCACCTCATAGCAGACTGCATAAGAAGTCTGCCTAATTATTATTTTTCTAAAATCATTTTTAAATATTTGTTACTTGTAAAAATATTTTTCTTGTTTTGACATGTTTATTTGTTTTTTATGTTGCATATTTATGAGTTTGACGTGGTTATGTGTTATAATTACAAAATAATGAATTTTCTTGTTTAATTTAGCTTTTAGTTTTAGAAGTCTACTTCGTAATATGTGGTAAACGTCAAGTGATTGCTTGCTTATGCTTGTATCATATTTATGCAGATTGTTTCAAAGATTGTAAAGTTAGGTATTTATAAGTTCTGGTGTTAGAAATATCCATTGTTCGTTGTTAACTAGGAATTTTGTGTGTATAAACTCTTAATTTTATGTATCTGAGCTTTTCTTCTATTTGGCCATAAAAATTTTTTTTTTCTGAATTTAGAACAATTTGTGGTTTTAGAACTGTTTTTACATTAATATATATGACTTCAAACATTTTGATGTAAACCATGTTTTTGTACATTGCTTCTTCTGTCTGTTTATAAGCTAACATTGTTGTACATATTGATATTCTGCTTCAAAATAAACAAGACATTCTGCATTAAATAGTATATTACCATAAACAAGATATCATACATATTGTATTATATGTTTTTCTTCTCATAGATTACGAAATCCGTTCACCTAATTGAGTTTTTTTCAGCAAAAGCCAATCAAAGAAGTAATCTTATTTTCTATATTCAAAAATCGAATCTGAAGCTTAATCATAAGAACAATACAATGCCTCTTGTAGCTTGTGTCATCTCTCTTTCTTAGTCTCCCTCAGCACTTTTTATGTCGCCTCGTCCCACCTGTAATTAATTATATCATATTCAGGACTTAATTATATAAAATCAAACCACTAAATCTGTCCTGGTTTACTGGCAACATATGGTCATGGAGATGTTCAATCCTAATCAAGTAACCTGATCCGAAAAAAACCAAAAGAAAACCAAACCATACCCTCATATGGTTGATATAAAATTCAGCTTTTACATATCTAAAAAGAACCGCAAAGGAATCTAAACCATACTAAACAGAAAATCATATGAATAACTTAATCTGAGATCAAACCAAGATACACAAAAGAGAAACCTGAGGATATAGTACGCTATATCTGTTAATCCCTAATATTATCTTCAATTTTCTTCATGCTTTTCTTTAGAGTTTGAGCAAAACAAGTGACCCTAACTTGGCAACACCGGGTCGAAGCGGAAGAAGCTTTTTCTCGATCAGAACCATGAAAAGCTCAGTTTTTTGCTTGTGAAGCCCAGCTATGAACACTTTCCTCTCTGCTTCTTCCTTGGGAGCTTTCTCTGGCCATCCAATCTTGTTAAAATACGCAGTCATCCTACAAACAAAACAAGCCATGTCAATGAAAACAAAAAAAAAAACTTGAACACTAAATCGTTGACTTCATGAACTCGAATTTGGTTGTTTAACCTCAATACCTTTCTTTTCCACCACCGATTTTCAGTAGCTCGCCGTACAAATCGACATCCCAGGTAACACCCAAATCTCTCTGCCAAATCACACCGAAACTCGTTGAAGGAGATCCTGTGACCGTCCTTCTCGGTATCAACAAGCACTCCTCCGCAATCGAAGAGAAGAGCGGAGGGGAGAGTCGCCGGAGAAGACGAAGCAGAGTAGGTGATTCCGCCGGATCGAGATGCTATGGATTTCACCAGTTTTGCTCTATAACCGTTTGAGTTCAATAACACCTTCGATTCCAACATATTCAACAGATCTGAAATCCCGTTGAAAACCAAAATCAGTCACGAATTTGAACAAAGAACGAGGAGACAGCAAATCTGAAGAAGAAAGAAAACGAACCAGGAAAAGCTAGCAGAGAAGCCATGAAAGAGAGAGCACAGCGCCGTTTTACAGAGAAGGAGTCGAGTGTTTCTAGTTTAGGGTAACAATTAGTATGTTTCATTTATATAATAGGTTAAAAATATCCGGTTAGGTTAATTATTTTCGGTTTATGTACACATTTTAATTTTAATTCGGGTACGGTTTATGCAGACTTCTTAAATTAGTCTGTAACCCTAAATTAAAACCTATAATAAAGATATTTATCTTTGTTGGTTTAATTTGAATTGGTTATATTACTTTTTAATTTATATACATCAACATTGTTTATATTTGTTTTATGAAAACAAATTTCAGCTTAAATTATTTTTACATAATTTTTAAATTAAAATATAAAGTTTAAAAATAGAGTATCCTAAATTAGAATTATTCACTTTTGATGTTTATTTTAGATGGTTTAAAATGATTAATTTTTATTAAAGTCTAATTTATATAGATCATACTTATTGATATTTGATTTATAGAAACACATTTCAGTTTATATTATTTTTACATAATTTTAAAATTTAAATATAAGATTTAATAATATAGCAGACTTCTTTTACGGTCTGCTGAGCAGACTGATAAAGAAGTCTGCAGCCCTAGTTTAAAACTTTTCATTTTTTATGTTTATTTTAGATGGTTAGAAATGATTCATTTTTATTAAATTATAATTTTTATAGATCATACTTATTGACATTTGATTTATAAAAACAAATTTCAGTTTACATTATTTTTATATAATTTTTAAATTTAAAAATAGGATTTAATAGTATAGTAGACTTCTTTATCAGTCTGCTGAGAAAACTTCATTAATATTTGCAGACTTCGCAAGGTTATAATCGTAATTGAGATATCTGTTTTTTGTTTACTCATGTAGGAGATAATAGTAATTTCTCTACCTCTCTAACATATTTTTGCAATAGATTGAATTTAGAATATACTTTTGCATTTGGAATCAAATTATAATCTGCTTTTAGCAATTTCCCCGAAAATCAAACTCGCCGTTTGTGCACAGTGAATCCTATGTTTTGGATCCCATGATAAGATCCAGCCTCGACTAGTGTGTACTTTTTATAGGGATTTAGCCTTTTTTCTACATATATAATTTTTTTTTCTGGTAAATATCTCCCCGTATAAGAAAATAAAGTCTCGAACTGTTATTGCTATTTTATAATTTTTCTTCAATACAGTTTTTAAAAAAAAAAAAAATTGCCGAAAGAATCTCAACTAAACCCATAAGGGGTTAGTTGGTTAAAATAAATTAAAAAAATAGTGTTAGTTGAAGTGTAGAAACCCATGAATATATATATATATATATACTTGAATTTAAATGCCATCCCACGTGAACATCGAAGTTTATTTGATTCAATTTTTTTAATTATTCTGCCTGTTTTCTGCAGTTCTTTCCCTTTCGTTATTTCTTAAGGAAAAATCTTATGGCTATATAGGTAAATAAGTTAATTATACTATACCCCTAATACCTCCAAGGAAATAGTGGTTTGTAAAACAAAAATATCTTAATCATCAAATGTGAGATTATTGTCTTGGTTTTAGTTAAATAAGACATTTATGTTTAAATTTTTAATCTGTGAAGTGCGAGTATATATTATTGAATTTATTATTTTAAATAGTATGTGCATGTGACAGCATATCTATATACGAGTAAGATTTTTTTTTTTTTTTTTGCATATACGAGTAAGATTGAATTAACGTTTTTCTACTCTGAATTAACGTTTCACATGCGTTAGTATAAATTACAAATAGTGTTGGCGTAAAAAAAAAGACGTTAAAAGAAACTTACAAATAATGTTTGATTGCAAAAAAAAAAAAAATGAAAAAAAGAGATGAATTATCGTGTGTTGTCTTTAATCGCGAAGTTAACGAATGCATGCATTTGAAACAAGTACAACATAATTAAATTATTTCTTCGGTACTATGATACCATCTTTTTCGGGAAAAGGGTTTTCTTCTTCGATATATTCACCTTGATTCTATTTATTTAATCCTTTTACCTTATTATAGGACAACCGAAGCTATTAAAGAAAAACACAAAAAATGGAACAACAAAAAATATAGCCTTTAGACATACTTTTTTTTCTTCACGATACGATTAAGTATTAAAACAAGAATATCTCGGTTCATAATTATATAAGATAAATTATAAGCTAGTTCTGATAAAACGTCCGTGAATCGACGAGAAAATCCTAAAACCCTATTATTTTATAATAAATTTCTTTTATGAATATTTAAGTAAATTATAGCGTACCCATTTCACACTTCACAGTGACTTACATGCATTGATCCTCTAGCAAAAAGAAACCCTTTTTCTTTAGTTTCCAAATACTAAGCAATCTCTTCTTTTTTTTTCTTACCTTTTTCTTTCTTGGCTTTTTCTTCTCCCCTGATAGAAACTTTTTCCAGTCAAAATTTAAGAGCTTTAAAGTAAAACTTCCACTAAGGTTTATACATATACACAATCCTCATATACATATATAGATTAGCACACTTTAATTATTTTCTCTCTCTATCTCTCTCTCTTTCTCTCTTCACTTCTGCTCTCGCTTAGTTTGGTCTAAAATTAAATGGCACCAAAAGGAAAGAAACCAATAAGAAGAAAAACTGCAAGAAGAAGAGGAAGAATCAAGAACCCATCTTCTCCATGTAGTATCAATAGTGACGTCACTTCAACGTCATCATCTACTTCAATCTCCCCAACTGCCACGTCGACATCGCCGATTCCAGCCAGTGGATGTTGTACTCCGAAATCTAAGAAGTCACGAATACCGGAGATGCTGACGTGTCCACCGGCGCCGAAGAAGCCAAGGGTGGCGCAGAACTGCGGTTTAAGTAGGAGACAAATCGCTTTCTTTGCTCCTCCAGATGTAGAGCTCTTCTTCGTTTTCGCACTTGGTCAACAAATCAATAAATAAGCTAAGTTTATGATTAGGGTTTTGCGGTTATTATCATGGTATGATCAATATATCTCAAGTTTCTAGATTCAGATACAACAATATTGAAAGTATATTATAGAGAGTGTAGTGTGATGTTTTGCTTCTTTTTTTTTGTGTCTTATTTTGCTGTTTTCCCCTCTTTGGTTCCTTTTTTTTGTTTTCGTATTTTTTTTTTGGATAACTTTGAATTAGGTGGGTTTGAATTTGTGGTAGGGTATAATTAATCAAATACCCTATCCCTTTTTTGAATTAGTTTTTCTTTTCTGTAATTTATTATGTTTTCTGTAATTGAATGATGCTTGCTAACATTTCAGGCTTGTTAGCTTTAATTTGCAGTTTTGTTTGTATTCTGGTTTGAGTTAATTAAGAGTTGGACCATTGTTTTACATAATTTATTGGTTAATTTCCTCATTATTTTATTCACAATCTCGTCAAAAATTAATTCCATAAAAAGCACTTCTAAAATTTATTTCTTTTTTTTATTAAGTACAAGAAAAAGTCATGAAATACACCATTTTTTGTCAGATTGATTATGAGCTCGAATTCAAAATCTGACAAAATATGTTAAGTTCGACCGAAAAGAAAAAGTTTATATAGCCACAGCCAAAAAAATAGCCGATGCAGAATAATACGCTTACAAAAGTTTTGGGTATAATTAATGCAAAGTTAAGAAAGATTCAACTATTCCGTTTGTTGGATTTAAAGTTTATAAAACTTGAGAAATTACTGAGCAAATCTATTCAAAAATTAAAGAAATTATCTTAATAAACTGTGATGTAATTATGAAAAGTTGAATTTAGTTAGTGAAAACAAAAGAGAAGAAGGAAATGTTTAAGGGATGGCCAAAGTGTCGGAGCAGACGATAACATATTCGAAGGGAATCCAATGCAAGGACTCGTGCGGCTTTTTTTCCATCATTTTCTCTTTTTTCAATTTTCTCTTTCTCCCACTCCCTTTCTAAGAACAAAATTACTGATTACAAGTTATAACGAATGTATAGAATTATATCTATATATGTAGAGTAGGTAAGAAGAAGACACAAACAGCTATGATAGTATTTTTCGTAAATTAATAATTCTTTTCCCATCATTTATTTATTTTCGATTTGTTGCTGCTATAATATTATCTCTAGAGTTCAAAAATGTGGATATATCATAACTTGAGGACGTACGAATCTTATGATTGCAATTATGAACTTACACCCTTCCGTGCATTATTTATTCGTTTTACGTCACTCAAAAGGGCCACTTTTAGAATGTACAACATCAAAACTTGAATGAAAAGGAAATTATTATTGAACTAGTCTACTAACGTACTAAAATATAGTTATAAACTTTGTAAGAAATATAGTTTTTTTTTTAAAATTGTATCATTTTACACTGATAAATCTGATAAAAACTTGTATATTGACGTACTAAAATATAGTTGTAAGGATTTAAGAATATATATATATATATATATATATATTTTCTAATATACTTTGTCCATGCCTTAAACAACAAAGTAACAAACAAAATTCATTGCTATATTCATCTCTTAATGTAATCCTCCTTTAGACTCATTGAATTATCAAAAGATGTCCCATATTGAGAGGGCATAGAAGTGAACACAACAGGCTTAGAAAAAAACCAACAACAAAGTAACAAACATACCCTTCGTCTCTTAACGAAGTTCTTCCATTGGTTATAAATAATGCTTTTTTAATCATAAGTAGGTGGTTGCTTTTTTCTGATAAAGAGTTTTTTTTTATTTTTACTTTTCTGCTAAGAACGTTCACTGAGAATGAAAAAGCTAAGGTGTTACAAAAATGTTTACCTATTATGCTTCTTCGACAAAAAGAATATAAAAAACAAGAAAAGCAATGAACTGTAAATTAGAAGAATTTAATTACAAGGTTATCGGATCCAGAGTGACATTAAGTTATGGTGTTGGCTTCGCCTTCTTGCAGATATGGTGTTGAATCATGGTCCATGTATTTGAAATTGGTGAGTGTAGGGTCGTCTGATATGATTGTGCAGAACGTTGTTCTTCTAGAAAGTAAATTATAAGGCTATGGTTTTCAAATTATAGAGATCAAGAAGGTAATTTACGATATAGATGCATAAGTTTCTAACAAACAAAAAGGATAGAGTGATGTGATCATGAAACCAGAAGCAACATATGAGATTCCAGAAGCAGCCTTGGTCGTTTTGGAGAATCCAGTGATGCGGTCCAAGTCTCGGAGGTTGACAAGAGCTGTGGACAATGCTAGAAGAAATCCGGAATGTGGAAGTTCAAGTCCGGATCAGTGAAGATGAGTTTTCATCCTTAGTTACCAGAGTTCTTGTTATAAGGTTGGCTGCAAGATTTAAGTCAATGAATTTTTCGGGTGGAGGTTTTAACGAGACTATAGCTAATATCCCACTCATGGTCCAAGCTCGGCAAGAAGTCCAAGAGTCATTTTCGACTGGAAGCTCAAAGGTTAAATCAAGATAGCCGAGGAGTCAGTCCAAATTTATTTATTTTGGTCTTAGTTTTATTTAATGAACTTTGTCATTTTCGAATATGATCCTATGTCAACTCATTTCCCTCTATATATGCTATGTAACCCCAGAATTTTGACATTTACCTTTTTAATAAATTCTGAGAGAATCTCTCTTTTGCTCTTCATGAAACTCTTTGATTTTTTGGTGGTTAGCCAACAGATCATTTCGGTTTATCAAGTGTAGATCATAACACTTGACGCAGCCTTCAATCCAGTGTTTGTAGATTTCGTTTCAAGTAGTTTAAGAGGCTTAAGGATTTTTGGAAACTCTATTCTCACGCCTTAACATATTTTAACTGCAAAATATTTCATTCTTTGAAGTCACCTCCTTGTTTCAAACCGTTCATCGCAATTTTGGACCTAAAAATCTTCGAGTTCATAACTCGCCCTTTTAGCATCTTTCTTTGTGAATCATTGGAGTCAAAAAACCATAAGCTCAATCCAATCAAGAGTGTACGAAAAATGAGTATTGATAGCACATTAACATAGCATAATTTCTATAACTGCTATTAAAGAGGATATTTCGGATTTGAATATTCTATTATAGCATTTTAAACACGTTATATCGAAATTTCAGTAAGCGGGAACAAAAAATTAACATTTAGAATCTAAATTCTGTGATGAGCGCCAGTACTTAGGCAAAAAGAAAAAAAAATACTAAGTACCCCAATTGTGACTCTTCTTTTTATATTGTTCGGAGAAGAACAAAAACAAGTTCTTTGGAAAAAAAAAATTCTCTTTCGATAAAGCAGCTCGTTGTCCCTCCGTCTCTGATTTCCTCCTCCACCGTCTCTGCCGTTGTGGCTGAACCATCTCACCACATCCTCCTTCCTCGCCTTCTTCTCAGCCTCCTTCTCCACCTCCCGTTCCCCCGACCCAGCTAACCTAAACCCTAACTCATCTCCGATTGAACCCACCTCTCTCAATTCGCCGCCGCCGCTTCCACCTCCATCCTCCATAAAGGGTATTGAAACAACTCACCCCTTTTTTCGCCTCTCCTATTCTCAAGAGCTGATTAGGTTTAACTGTAGATTTTGGGTTAGGGTTCCTGGACGGCGATGACGAGTTTCCTCTCATGAGCTTTCTTCGATCCTGTTTAACAGGTATGGTTCTCAACACTTTGTGGGCTTTTGACATGGAGATTCTTAAATTATTCAAACCGATACTTATACTGAGGATTTCGAGACAGACCACCCGATATTCAACCTAAGGCAAATGCTTAAAACCTTCATTATGATGGCCAGTTGTTGTATTTCTCGCTAATAGCCTAATAATATGCATTATTTTCATTTTTCTTTGTTGATGTTGAACACAAAGCGTTGGCAGTTGATTCAGATGCGAGATTTATTCTTCAATGATCGCCTAACAGATCTTTTAGTAGCTTGCAGAGAATAAACTACTCAACATCAACTCCTTCGAAGTCCCTTGCGACAACATTATAGGACGTTTGGGTTTAATTAGGGCAGGATTCATTAGTTAGAAGCTTTTAATCTCTGGATTCAAAGTAGTGATACATAGATTGTTTAAAGCTATTTGATTTCAGTGTATAAGCGAGCAAAAGCTTAGAGATTTAGTGTTTATACACATATATGAGGGTTTGATAGAAATTTTTTTTTTGATATTGGTTTGGCTTTGTAGGGACTATTTGAAGATCTCAAAGCTAACAGGACAGAAGACGACCAGGTTAGGCTGTTCCAGCCTGACGAAAACGCTCTTAGTATGCAAACAGGTGCTGATAGGCTTTGTATGACACCACCTTCTGTGGAGCAATTCATCGAAGCAGTTAAGCAAACTGTACGTGCCATCAAGAAATGGAATGGGTATGGACTATGGACCAATGTGTATCTCTATTCCAATCGATATGATTCTTGATCATAGTTTGCTCTCATCTCTAGAAGCTCCTCACGGGTTTTATGGCTTTTTTTGGTGTTTTAGGTTCCTCCTCCGGGTAAAGGAGTTTTGTATACAAGGCCTCGGCTAATAGGGAGTGGCACTATCCTTGGAGCAGCTCCAGCACCTGAGTACAAGTTCCTCATTTACGCATCTCCCGTAGGAGATTACCATAAGGTGAGTTAGTGTTCTGCTGTTCTATATACTTGGTGAAATAAACTCTGCCGAAAGACTCTCTAAAGCTGAAATTGTAACGCTGGTGTTTCTTTGTTGTAGGTAAGCACAAGCCTGAAACTTAAAGTTGATCATAAGTATCGCCGAGCCCATTCACTTGTTTTCAGAAGCGTGGATGCTTATTACTTTTGTTTCCATGAGATGTAGGTCACTTTAACACTTTTGTTGGAGATCGATCTGCTTATGTGTTCAGTTAGATTCTGATTTTGCTTGTGTATTGGATTAGGTGATCTGGTGAAGATGCTTTTGAGACTGCAAAGAGTTGACGTTTCTTCTTCTCCTTAATCTCATTAGCTTTTGGTTTTAGTTCTTATTCCTTCTCTCTGTTCTTGAGAGTTTATTAATTTTCTGAATTTTTTGTTTTGCAGAAAAGAAGAATGGTTGTAATATTTTGACCACGTTTAAGCAAAACGAGAGACTTGAATCAGTTTCAGTTACATCTCATCATTACAGGTTTGATTTCTTGGTCCTTTACATGAATAATACTTTGTTTAACACTCTTAAGACGATTATTATTTGCACAGTTCATCAAAAGCAGGTTTTGGTTACAATAAACTTTTCTCTAGAACAATTGGAACGTGCTTTGGATACAAGATCAAATCTGGTGGAGTTTTATATTGGACAAAAACAGAAGAGGGCGACAACTGCTGCAAAAACCGGTTGCAAGATGATCAAATCTTTTTGAGGTAATTTGTTCATTTGGATTTTGGTGCAATTCTGAAATTATACCTTTGCTTGATGACTTTGGAGAGTTACGTAAACAGATTCCCAATACATCAATATATGGTTTTGGTTTGTTGCAGTTACTGTGTGTGTTTGTTGCTTGGAACTGCAACTTATGGCATTGATTCTCTCCCAGGCTAGGCAAGCTCTTCTCACTCAAAGAATTGCTTCAGCACTTCAAGCAGCCATGATGTTAAGACCACGTTTTGTAAGACATTTGGTATGATGTTTAAGACTTGATGTTTTGTAAGACTTGTTTTTAATATGATGTTTGTCCTTGTGATGTTTTGTGTAAGACATGTTTGGATGTTTAATAAAAATAAGAGTGTTTTAAATGCAAACGCTGGTTTCTTTATAGTTTTGGAAAACAGGTCTCTCGGTTTGAAAATAATTTTGCAAAACTACAGGTCATAATAATAAAAAAAAAGATACTAGAACATGTTAGTTATACAATAGCCCGGATAAAGTATTATAAAACAATATTCTATAGCCTAGAAAAAGAGCTACAACACGTTATACCGTAGCAAAAAAAAGAGCTACAAGAGATTAGTCTATAGCAACAAAACCGAGCTACAAAAGTCCATATTATAGCGTCTAAAATGAGCTACTATATCGTCAATAACAACACAATTTCAACGCTATAATAAAAGTAGATAATATAGCACAATCCGAAAACGCTATTGTATAGGGGTCACCCTATTATAGCTCCGGAGATCACAGCGTTCATTGAAACGCTATTAAATCGATATGATAGCGCTAATCGTGAGCTAACAATGTACATCTTTCTTGTAGTGTGTGTTAATCATAGAAAAATAGTATCATAGAGATGCATAAACATATAAATAATTAGGACATCAAATTCTAAAGTGTAAAACCACAAAATAAAATTTCAAAGAGATTGTCAAGACACTTGTGGTCTGATGGTACTCTTCTCTTTGTGTTTGGAAGGCTCTAGTGGGATTAGTCGGATTGGCCTTAATCACCTACAAAAATCTATAAAAAAAATAAAGAAAAAGAGTTGGAGAAACATTCACTCGCTAATTGTGATGATACGATGCGTTTTCAGCTATGTTTGGGCTAAAGCTTGAGATGGGCTGATATTGGATGAATTAGGCCCAATCGGTGTAGAGCTTGGTGAAGCCCAGAAGGAATCAAATCTCTTGGTCAACTGTCGTTTTGTATCATCTGCTTCTTGGTGCGTTGACTGAACCAGATAAGGTTAGTTACGCTAACGAAAAGTTGCAGGAGCTTGAGGTTGTTGAGCTGGATCCTGATACAAAAGGAGAGACAGAGTTTAGAGAGAGGTTGATACGTGAGCAACAAGTAGAGAGATCTAGAGAGAGAGATTAGAGAGAAAAGCTTATCTTCTTCAAAGCTTCTTCTTCTTTGTTTCTCGGTTGTAATCTCAGGATAGATCGCTCTTGATAACTTGTACTCGGTTCAAGCGTATAGTGAAACCTAGTGAGCGGGTTCTTATGCTCACCAAGACGTACCACTAGCTCGTTGCTGTGGGAACTTGTAAACGCATGTGTTCTTTACTTTTCTGCACAAATCATCAACTCAGAAACAGAGTATTGAATCGGTTAAAGAACAAAGGAAAGAATCAACTAATTGGAACTCAAAATCACTACAAGTGGTATCAGAGCCAGGTTAGATCGTTTGGGAGGTGATTTTATCGACGAGTATCCAGTTACTTGGAGACGTTCTTCGGATTCTCAGAAACAAGGATTGACTTGGCAGGAAGGATTTTCTCATACCTGGTTTCCAATGTCAGGATTGTGTTGTTTCTGAAATCAAGGACGTCTGATTCGGTAATCTTTCGGTCAATCTTCATTGATCGTGTTTGTTGAGGATATTTGGTGCGGATCCATTGGTTTTGCGTTAGCTTTGTCTGGGATTTCTTCTTGGTATTCAGCGTCCTGATCGTTTCTCAAGTCGAGTGATTATCAGATCTGATCAAGCAGAATGTTGGAGCCGACACATGGAAAGTGGGAAGTGGAAAAGTTTGATGGAGAAGGAGATTTCTCCATCTGGAAACATCGGATCCTCGCTCAGCTGGAAATCCTGGGTTTGGATTCTGTCCTGAACATTGATGAGTCATCGTCATCAATTTTGCCAGATCCAAAGGACAAAGATGAGGAGGCAAAGAAAGTTGATCCTAAAGCTGTTGAAAAGGATCGTAGAGTTAGGAATCTATTGAGCATGAGCTTGTCTGATATGGTATTACGAAAGGTGGGATTGAAGCACAAATCAGCTCAGTCCATGTGGGATTCTCTAGAATCTCAGTATCAAGATAAATCATTGCCTAATAGATTCTACCTCAAACAAAGATTTTACAGCTTTAAGATGGAAGAAGGAAAGAATCTAGACAAGAATCTGGACGTCTTTAACAAGTTAGTTTCAGATATTGCAAGTCTGGATGTTGAAGTGAGTGATGAGGATCAAGCCGTAATTCTTCTCAACGGCTTACCATCTCAGTTTGCTCAACTTGTTCATACACTCAAGTACAGGGGTGGTCAACAAACGATAACTCTAAAGGAGGTTACTACAGCTGCTTATTCACTCGAAACAGAGCTAAAGCAAAAGGGTTCCTACTTGTCAAAAGCAAGTAGTGAGGGACTCTATGTCCAGTCTAAGACTCAGACGGATAAGAGGACTAATGCTAGAGGAAAACAGCAAGACAAAGGAAAGACAAAGGCAAAGAGTAAGAAAACATGTTGGGTATGCGGAGGGGAAGGACATTTCAAAAAGGACTACCCAAAGAAAGGTCAAAACAGTAATGCTCATGCCAATGTCGGACAAGTTCCTTCAGATGAACCTTTGGTATTGACAGCTTATGAGTTCAGTGTCAGAGATGGATGGGTTCTTGACTCAGGTTGCTCGTATCATCTAACCTACAGAAAGGATCTCTTGTTTGACGTAAAAGAAATTGATGGAGGAAAGATCCTAATGGGAAATGATACTCACTGTGTTGTTTCTGCTATGGGGAGTTTGAAGATAGTTAACAGCAACCATTCATCCGTGGTGTTAACAAAAGTCAGGTATTCGTCTACTGCAAAGAGAAATCTTATATCATTAGGACAACTGGAGTCACAGGGCTGTTGGTTTCAGTCCAAAAACTTCAGACTTCAAGTGTTTTACAAAGAAAAGGAGGTTCTCGCAGGAAATTATTCGGATACACTCTACATTTTAGACGGAAAGCCAGTGAAAGGGGAAGTGAATGCAGCGGTTGAGACTGGAGATAAGACTATGCTCTGGCATAGCAGGCTGGGACACATGAGTGCTAGAGGATTACAGGTTTTAGTCAAGAAAGAGCTATTAAAGGGAGATGATGTGTCAGAACTAAAACAATGTGAATTCTGCATTCTTGGTAAATCCCACAAACTGTCCTATAAGAAAGGAAAACACATTTCAAAGGAAAAGTTGGAATATGTTCATTCCGATCTTTGGGGTTCTCCGAATGTCACACCAAGTTTGTCTAAGTGCCAGTACTATATCTCGTTTGTGGATGACTTCTCTCGGAAAGTGTGGCTCTATTTTCTCAGGACTAAGGATGAGGCTTTCAGCAAATTCATAGAGTGGAAAGTCTTTGTTGAGAATCAAAGTGGAAAGAAATTGAAGGCGCTTAGAACAGATAATGGGCTTGAGTATTGCAGTAAAACATTTGATGATCACTGCAAAGCTCATGGTATACTAAGGCACAAGACCTGTCCTTACACACCACAAAAAAATGGTGTGGCTGAGAGATTAAATAGGACCATATTGGAAAAGGTGAGAAGTTTATTAAGCGATACAGGATTAAGTGAATCATTCTGGGCTGAAGCTGCATCTACTGTGGTTTACATGATCAACAGATCTCCATCTGTGCCATTAGGCTTCGAAGTTCCAGAAGAAGTTTGGACTGGTGTCAAACCAGATTACTCGCATATGAGGAGATTCGTTTGCTTGGTATACTACCATGTTGATCAGGGTAAACTAAAACCTAGGACAAAGAAGGGGGTGTTTATGGGATATCCCCAAGGAGTTAAGGGATATAGAATCTGGAGTAATGAAGAGAAAAGATGTGTTATCAGTCGTGATGTGACGTTCTGGGAAAATACACTTTTCAAAGATATTGGGAAGAAGGATTTGATTTCTGAATCTGGTGAGACATCGACTAAGAGTACACGAGTCTCCTTCGAGGTATGTCAGGATGATCGGGTTCGAAATGAAGGGGTTTCTGGTGAAGGTGGAGTTACTTCAGACACGGAGATAGCTAATGACTCAGAAGGTGAATCTGAATCAGAAGAAGAGACTGTGTTAGACAATTATCTCCTGGCCAGAGACAGAGAAAGAAGGGTGAATGTCAAGCCTCCAAGTAGATATGATGATGGAGATGTGGCGGCTTATGCTTTAAGTGTGGCTGAGTTGATAGAAGTGGATGAGCCAAAGACATTTAAAGAGGCTTTAAGGAGCAAGAATAAAGATAAATGGCTTGGTGCTACAGATGAAGAAATGCATTCGTTGAATAAAAATCACACTTGGAAGCTCATTGACAGACCAAAGGGACAAAGAACTATAGGTTGTAAATGGATGTTCAAGCTTAAGCCGGGAATTCCAGGGGTTGAAGAGCCAAGATACAAGGCTAGGCTTGTGGCAAAAGGTTATTCTCAAATTGAGGGAATAGATTACAACGAAGTGTTCTCTCCGGTTGTTAAACACACTACGATCAGAGTTGTTTTGTCTATGGTGGTTAACATGGATATGGAGTTAGAACAGTTGGATGTGAAAACAGCTTTCTTACATGGAAATCTGGATGAGAGAATTTTGATGGAACAGCCTGAAGGATATTCTAAAGGGAATAAAGGTCTGTTTGTTACAAAGATCTCTTTATGGCCTCAAGCAGTCTCCACGACAGTGGAACTTGAGGTTTGATCAGTTCATGAAGTTACAAAAGTTTTCTAGTAGTCAACTAGATACTTGTGTATATTTCAGGATTATAGTGAAGCTACGTGTATCTTCTACTTTACGTTGCTGATCATGTTGGTAGCAGCTAAGGATTTGAAGGTAACTTCAGGAGGTTATAGAAATGTTGAGCCGTGATTTCGAAATGAAAGACCTAGGACCTGCAAGGAGGATCCTAGGCATGGACATCATCAGGGATCGTGTTAAAGGAGTGCTACATCTTTCTCAGGAGTTGTATATTGAAAAGGTGCTTAAAAGTTTTGGTGCATTTGAAGCTAAGTCTGTTCAAACACCTCTTGGGTGTCATTTTAAACTAATGAGCACTAAAGAAGAAGAAAAGGCCGATACTGAAGCTCAGATGAGAAAGGTACCTTATTCTAGTGCCGTTGGCAGCCTCATGTACGCCATGGTAGGATCGCGTCCTGATATTGCTCATGCGGTTGGAGTTATCAGCAGGTTTATGAGCTCCCCTAACAAAGAACATTGGAACGCAGTTAGATGGGTCTTAAGGTACTTAAAAGGGAGCTCAGACTACAAGCTAACATTTACGAAATCACAGGAATTCAACATAAAGGGGTATTGTGATAGCGATTACGCTACTGACCTGGATCGTAGAAGATCAGTCACTGGGTACACATTCCAAGTTGGTGGGAATACAGTGAGCTGGAGATCTGGCCTGCAACAGATAGTGGCCTTATCAACAACGGAAGCAGAATTAATGGCTTTAGCAGAGGCAACAAAAGAAGCACTGTGGTTGAAAAGACTTACCAGTGAATTGGGCTTTTCGCAGGATGCAGTGGAAGTCTTTTGCGATTCACAGAGTGCCATATGCCTTGCTAAAAACAGCGTCTTCCATGAGAGAACGAAGCATATTCAGACTCGCTATTACTTTATCAGGGATGTGATTGCAGACGGAGATCTTGTGGTGACAAAGGTCGATACTAAGCTGAATCCAGCTGATATTCTTACGAAGTCAGTGCCCGTAGCGAAGTTTGAAGATGCTCGAAGTAATATGAAAGTCCTTCGGGACTGAATCTAGCTCGGAGAAGAGTTAGGGTTCCGACAGGGTCTATGTCGGAACAAGGAAGGTGAATCGGTGTAGATTTACCTTGTGTGGTCTGAAAATTATCGAGGTGGAGAATGTGATGATACGATGCGTTTTCAGCTATGTTTGGGCTAAAGCTTGAGATGGGCTGATATTGGATGAATTAGGCCCAATCGGTGTAGAGCTTGGTGAAGCCCAGAAGGAATCAAATCTCTTGGTCAACTGTCGTTTTGTATCATCTGCTTCTTGGTGCGTTGACTGAACCAGATAAGGTTAGTTACGCTAACGGAAAGTTGCAGGAGCTTGAGGTTGTTGAGCTGGATCCTGATACAAAAGGAGAGACAGAGTTTAGAGAGAGGTTGATACGTGAGCAACAAGTAGAGAGATCTAGAGAGAGAGATTAGAGAGAAAAGCTTATCTTCTTCAAAGCTTCTTCTTCTTTGTTTCTCGGTTGTAATCTCAGGATAGATCGCTCTTGATAACTTGTACTCGGTTCAAGCGTATAGTGAAACTTAGTGAGCGGGTTCTTATGCTCACCAAGACGTACCACTAGCTCGTTGCTGTGGGAACTTGTAAACGCATGTGTTCTTTACTTTTCTGCACAAATCATCAACTCGGAAACAGAGTATTGAATCGGGTAAAGAACAAAGGCAAGAATCAACTAATTGGAACTCAAAATCACTACACTAATTAAGCTCTAATATTGCGATTACCACGGCTTCTACAACCACGGTTTTCGCGTTCAACAACATTAATCCAATATATTTTTTGGATTTTTGAATTGGCTTAAGCTAAAGTTAAGATAAAACATACCTATATATGAGGATAATATAAAGTATGTAGTCGTATATTCGTGTAAGGGTGATCCCGCGCGTGTGCATGTTATCAGACACATAACACGTACAAACAAAAACCCAATTAGGTAAAGCAACAAATTACCTTGGAATGAGGATTTGATTTGAGTCTATCAATTTGTTTTGGTTTTCTCTTTTTGTCTTTGTATTATTAATTAGGCATCTAGCATTTCAATTCACAAAAATCATTAAAGCATAAAATAAAATAAAATATTGAATACTACTTGCTAAGATAATCGAGTAATCAAAGATAAAGATTATCGTACGTTTATGTCAAAGCTGATTAAACTTTGTAAGAATCCTAGGTTGCAACCCCCCCCCCCCCCCAAACAAACACAAATGAAAGTGCGTATTTACAATATGGATCATTCATATACTCTATGTAATAAGAATCTAAGACACGTATTTGTCAAATTGGTTTCGCTATATATCCAATTTTAAGTGCGTATCCTTCATCTTATCTGGTTCTCTGCTCCAATTTTTTGCTTCACTTGTGTTTCTTAAATCTTCACTTTATCATCTTTGATTTTCATATTGTAATTTGAAATGATGGCCTTTTTGGAAAAAAAGGAAGAATATAAAACACGTATGTTTCTTTTTAGAGTTTTAGGCTCATTCTAGCTTAAAAAAAGTTTAAAGAAACGTAACAAATTATAACTTCAAGTCTTCAACGATCAAACACGCAAATTATTATGTTTTTTCCAAAAAAAATCTGATTTCTTTCATTCTTTGCGATATTTTTTTCCTTTTCGGACTATTATATTAATGAAATCGGACATATTGAAGATGACAAAATTCGGAGTTGTTAAATGTGTGTTCTTAATTATTCTGGCATTTTATAAATTATGATAATTGAAATTTGAGTTATTCCTTTTTTTAATAATAACAATAGATACAAATAGATAATAGCAAAATTAAAAGAAAGCTTCTTACAACTTTTTTAACAGAGATTAGGTAGTGGATTTTACCATAATCTCCTTTTGTTCTTTAAATTACAAATTACTCATTTATTTTCTATCTCTCTTTTTTCACAGATAAACATTTTTTCTCACCTACTCTTTCTCTCTCTATCTCTCTTTATCTTATCTCTCTCGTTTTCATTTTGTTTTTTCTTTTTAAATTTTGCATCGCTTGATCTTTAAAAAGAAGATAATAGAATAGAAGAATAGGTACACTCGGATTCTTTAACCATTTTAATCAGTCACCATCTAATTTTATCTTCAATTAAATTATCTTATAGATGATGGTGAATGTGAAAATAGAGGTTAGTGATAATTCGATGATGATGATGATGAAAACAGGGGTGACAGTATTGTTAGCATGTTAACGTACAATGTTAGCAAGTAACAATATAAACTTATTCTAGTATAATAACTAGAAAACAATGATGGATTCATTGAGGACTAGAGAACAAATATTATATATTATCGTTAGCAAGTTAACATATTATGTTAATACATTATATAAATCATATATTATCGTTAGCAAACTAACATACTATAGTAGCACATTACATGTATCATATATTATTGTTAGTTGCTAATAAATATCAGATAACATGTTAACAAATATCAAATATTATTGTTAACTTTGTTAGCACGTTAACAAATATCAGATATTATTGTTAGTATGTTAACATACATTGTTAGCAAGTAACTATATAAATTTATTTTAATGTGATAACTGGATTAACACGATAATTACATTAATTTTCAAATTTTATGATATAATAATGATTATGAATAATGTCTGTGAAGAAAAGATCAATCCAATGGAAAGATAACTGACGAAAACTGTGTTAACTAAGTTAATTTAACTTGAAAAAGGAAATATTGTGATGAATGACATTTTTGTAATTAACATAAAATTAAAGGATAACTATGAGATAAATTTTTTCTCTCTTCCATAATCACCTAATTTTTTAGAAAAATTTACAAATTATATCACATTCTGAGTTTAGTTTACACAAAATATCAATTTCTGCTACTATAACATTTTTTCAATTTTTACATTGGCTAGATTACAATTCTATCCTTGTCAATTACACATAATTACAAATAAAAATAAAAAGCCACACTCTCTCTCTTGTCTTTTTTTTTCTGCGACTACAGTATATTTTATTTTTTTCTTTCCTCTCTTTTCTCAAACTTATATTTCTCATATTTTATTTTGTTTATTTTCTTTTTATTAAAAAAATAATTTTGCAATTTTTTCACACTACCAGTTATATCTATTTTATGTCTATATTTTGATACCCATTTTATAATAGTTTATATAATTATATAATTTATATATATTATAAAAAAATATAGAGAATATAAGTGTGAGGAAAAGAGAGGAAAGAGAAAAAAAAGAAAAAAAAATGTCGAAAAAGGAAAATAAGAAAGAGAATGTGACTTTTTATTTTTAATTTGATTTATCTTTACCCCAAAAATTACAAAGAGTAAAAGAATGATAAAATTGTAATATAGCTAATGTAAAAGCTGAAAAAATGTTATAATAACAAAAAATAATATTTTGTGTAATAAAAAGATATAAAGTGATATAATTCGTAAACATCTCAATTTTTTATTATCTATCTAATTTTCTAGTCAACCAACCATTTGATTAAATTTACCCTATTTTGTTGTTTGGGTTAGCATTCATTGTTTAAGAATTTTGTCATCTTCAATATGTCCGATTTCATCATTTTTTGTAATATTTTTTTCCTATTTTTTATATCTTGATTAGAGAGAATTTTTATCTATATATCTAACGGTTCAATCTTCTTCTCACTTTCACCTCGGAAAGCAACCATGTCTTCATCAAGTCCACCGAGTCAGATCGTCGAGCACATCGTCCTTTTCAAGGTCAAGGACAACGTTGACTCCGGCAAGATCTACACCATGGTCAACGACCTTAACAAACTAGCCACCATCGACAAGGTGCTTTACCTCTACGCAAGTCCTATCCACCGTCTCAAATCAGCCTCCTCCTCCGGCTTCACTCACGTCCTCCATAGCCGATACAAAACCAAGGAAGATCTAAACGCGTATGTTGATCATCCCGATCATCTTCGCGTCGTGGAGGAAACGATGCCGATCTGGGAAGACATCTTGGCCGTCGATTATATCGCCGATCAAGTCCCCGGAACCCTAACGCCGCCTCCAAGATCGGCTGCTAGAGTCACGTTACTCAAGGTGAGAGAGAATGTCCCCGAGGAAGCGAAAAAGGAGATTGTGGAAGCGATTAAGGAGAAATCTTCTCCAGGGATTGATCAGATCACTGTCGGAGAAAACTTCACTCCGGTGAGAGCTAAAGGTTTCTCGATCGCATCGGTTGCGTATTTTACGGGTTTAGGTGAAATGGAGCCTCACGAGGAGTTGGTGAAGGGAAAAGTTGGTGAGTATCTCGAGGATTCCATAGTTGTTGACTTCGTGTTGCCTTCTTAGAGGCCTGTAAAAAAAAGCTCAATAATTTCATCTTCTTGAAGATGAATAATAATAATAAACTATGCAATAATCCGAAATTTGCGACCAAGATTTTCTTTCTTCGCAATTTTCCCATCCGTGTTGCTTCAAGATTTACTTTTTACTTCAGATCTTCTAGAAGGTTGTTCTGCTTTTGTAACTAAAAAAAAAAAACAGGAACAGAGCTTTGACTCTGATACGGGACATATCCAAATATTGTCTTGATTTTGGAACAGCAAGCACGATCTATAAACCAAAGGTTGCAACTTTAACAAAACCAGAAAGAAACTCATCAAACACTTATGTTAATACTAGTTAACAATAGGGGTCCTTAACAATAACAATTTCTGAAGCCGCACAAGAAAAACAAAAAAGATTCGAGATTTGAGATATAGGACACCATTTAAGCCAATAGATTGATAACAAAGTTTGGTTTGATTTTGGTTTAGTTTTGGTTTTCTTGGTTACGGTTGCTTTTCCACTCTACTACAAAACCAGTTATATCATAAACTAAACCGGAAAAAAACCCCGACCTTAACGACTCACATCCTTCCGTTAGAAGCGTAAACGGATGATATCACGACGTCAGCTTATATCTTTGGAAACGACAAAACGTCGCCGTTTTGTAGGTAATTACAAAAATAAAAAAACCCTTGAAAACGTCGCCGTTGAGCCAAGTTTCCGAGTACCGTAAACCCTAGCGACTGCAACAATGGTCTGAATTCAACCGGATCGAAGTAAGCTCGTTTATTTGGTTAAGTGTCTGTAAGAGAAGGAAAAGCAAAGAAGAAAACCCAAAATCCAAAACCAGTATTAGTCCCCCAAAGGATCAATATTTAATCACTCCTCTTTTCTTCCCCGCAAACCCAATTCTTCTTCTTTTCTCCTTCAATTGCTAATCGTCCGTCGATCAAACCGCTCTTCTTTTTTAACTTCTTCATCGAATTTCTACTGCCCTAAGCAAAAAAGAAAGTTCAGCGCAATTTCCGTTGGATTCTAGCTTCGGCTTCAAAACAAATTTTGCTAGCTGGTTACAGAACTTTGCTTTCACGGCTTTCTCTGCTTGGTCCTCTCGTGGGTCGCTGGTAAGTTTTGATCTTTTCGTTTGTAGTTATCAAAGTTCGATTTTTTTTTTTCTTTTAAGAAAAATCGCACAGTGATTTTGAATTAGTTCGTGTGTTAGAGGAGTATAGCCTCTTAGCTAATGGGTTTTGGGCGTTGGGGTTTGACGTTTCAATTTCGTCGTCGACGATTGTATCGCTCGTGATTGAATCGCAGCTACAAGTAGATTACACTTTACTATTTTGGGAAGCAATTCGCCGTTTTTGCTTCCTTGTCTCGTGAATAACAGAGTCGGTTTAAGGGAATTCAATTTGATCAAGGTCCATTGTTTGTGCAACGGTTGCGTAAATGTTTTTTCGACCTCTCGATTGAGCCTAGCTTACTCTCTACTCTCTGTTTGAGTGCTTTACTGCTTTCTCATTGCTAAGTTCTTACTCCATTGTGCATTGTGCGAGAATGTTTGTGTTGAATAAGGAAGGAAATGTTTGAATTCAGTAGTAATCTGAGTGTCAAGCAAAGGTTGTCAAAAAGCTGTCTTTGAGAAAACCTACATCTGCCATCTGATATCTCTTGATTCTCGCAGAAAGTTTTAAGAGAGAGTGAATATTCAGAGTGGAGAATTATGGCGGCAGCGAAAGGAGGCGATTGGAAAAACGGAGGAGGTTTGGATGACGAGAACCTGGTCTTTGAAACGACCAAAGGGATCAAACCCATCACGAGCTTCGATGACATGGGGATGGATGATAAAGTTCTTCGCGGCGTCTACGACTACGGTTTCAAGAAACCATCTGAGATTCAGCAGAGAGCTGTGATGCCAATTCTCAAAGGACGTGACGTTATCGCTCAGGCTCAGTCTGGTACAGGGAAGACTTCCATGATTGCAATCTCCGTCTGCCAAATCGTCAATACTTCCTCCAGAAAGTACGCCTCTTTTTTTCCCCTGAGATTGAAAAAATGCAAACTTTAATTTAGATTTCCAATTTGGGGTTTAACTGTGATTGTGAATTATGTGATTAGGATGAGAATTACTTACTTAAGGCTGCAATACCTGTTTTTACCAGTAATCCACTTTGTGTTAATGGTTGACGATGTTGCTTTGTAATTAAGATAAGGAACACTCATTTAAGGTTTCAGTATTTGTTTCTCCAATTTACTAATCCACTTGATTTTGGTTTGTAATTACGATGATGAACACTAAGGCTGCAAATTTTGTTTTTCCCCTGCTTACTAATATATTTGGAATTACATGGTTAATGATCTTGCTTCATGATTGAGATGAGGATCGCTTACTTAAGGCTGCAATATCTGTCTTCACTTTGTACTACATGCTCTATGATTTTGCTTTCTAATCATCATGATGAACACTTAAATATTTCACTTAGTATTACATGGTTAATGATTTTGCTGAGGAACATTTACTTAAGGCGGCAATATCTATTTTTTCTTTATCATTTCATTATGTATTACATGCTTTATGGTTTTCCTTCATGATTAGGACGGGGAAGCCGTACTTAAGGTTGCGTGATATTTTATTTATGATTTACTAATCAACTTTGGATTCTTCTTCGGTCTCAAGGATTCAGGTCTTGGTCTTGTCTCCATCAAGGGAGTTGGCTTCACAAACAGAGAAGACGATACAGGCTATTGGAGTGCATACCAATATTCAGGCACATGCTTGCATTGGTGGCAAAAGCATTGGAGATGACATAAAGAAGCTGGAGCGTGGTGTACATGCTGTGTCCGGGACTCCTGGTCGAGTCTATGATATGATAAAGAGAGGAAGCTTGCAAACCAAAGCTGTTAAACTTTTGATTCTAGATGAATCAGATGAAATGCTGAGCAAAGGTTTGAAAGACCAGATTTATGACGTTTACAGATCTCTTCCACACGATATTCAGGTATCAATCTCATTTTTCGAATAGTAGTAGTAATTGGTTAATCATGGATTCTTGGCTGTTTGTTACTTCTAAATCTTTATACACTTCGGTTACATAGGTTTGCTTGATTTCTGCTACTCTTCCTCAAGAGATTTTGGAGATGACAAACAAGTTTATGACGGATCCTGTGAGGATACTTGTGAAGCGCGACGAATTGACTCTTGATGCAAGTGTTTCTTCTGCCATTTTTATACTTAACTCTTAATTTTAACCATGAATTACAACGTTCATAATTTTTCACTTTTCAGGGAATCAAACAATATTATGTTGATGTTGGAGAAGAAGAGTGGAAATTCGATACACTTTGCGATCTTTATGGGAGACTTGTTATTAACCAAGCTATTATCTTCTGCAACACAAGAAAAAAGGTAAAACACAGTTACTTGTGTTCTTAAGCTTTGGTCCCTACTCCCTATATATCTTATGCCGCGAATCTTAAAGCTTTGATCTGCATCTTATATATATAAGGTGGATTGGCTTACAGAGAAGATGAGGAGTAGTAATTTCATAGTCTCATCAATGCATGGAGACAAACATCAAAAGGAGAGAGACGAAATCATGAACCAGTTCCGGTCTTTTAAAAGCCGTGTTTTAATCGCCTCAGATGTATGGGCACGAGGGATCGATGTTCAAACAGTATGGAACTCTTTGTCTCAGTATTTAACTTATCAAAGTCTGATTTTGATCAAAATCCTTTTTAAAAAGCAAAACTTTATGGTGACACTTGGAATCTTTATGTACTAGGTTTCTCATGTTATCAATTATGATGTACCAAACAACCCGGAGCTCTACATTCATCGTATTGGACGAGCTGGTCGCTTTGGTCGGGAGGGTGTTGCGATTAACTTTGTGAAAAGTTCCGACATGAAAACTCTTCGGGACATTGAGCGGTACTACGCTACTCGAATCCGTGAGATGCCTGCTGATCTTGCCTGAAGTTTTTTTTTGTCTCCTTGAAGCCGAGGTTGAAGAAGAATCAGTTTTAAGGCCAATTTTGTTCCTTTGTTTCTGCACACCATTGGTTTAGATTTAGTATAGACTATGTGAGCTTCAAAATGTATACCGAACAAGAATCCATATACAGTAATATGTGACTCAAAAGGATCAAAGAAAATTCTTATTTAAGCATTTTGGAAAGGGAAATCTTGGAAAGAAAATGCAGAAATTATGGTTTAAGCCGGTTCAGTTGATTAACGGTAACGGTAACGATAACGGCAACTCAAAGCCTTGTACATATACGCCTCACGCTGTTACACAGAGGTGTCTCCAATCGCCGCCATTCACACGTCGTACCAAGCTTCTCTTTCGCCGTCCGTTTTGCGATTTCTCCGACGAAACACTGATTTTTTTGAATTTGAACACAGGCAACGACGCCGGAGACCATGAAAGGGATTGCTAGGCTTCTGAATTCTCTTTCGCGAAAAAGAACTTGCGAGATCTTTTCTTCGCCTTCTTCTCTTCTGATTTCATCACGTCGCCTTCTATTTATCTCGGCGGCGACGCAATTTCCAACGAATTTATTGGATGCCAGAACGGCTAATTCTGCTCGTGATTCTTCGTTTCCCCTGAATTCGATCTCACTGGGAGGTATGGGTACATTTCTTTGTCGTTCCATTTGTTTCGTGTTCATAGGAATCCTGATTTCTCTAGTTGCTTTCCTTCGTATGAGAAATTTGAGTTTTTTAAAAAGTAATCATTTCATTAAGTTAGAGAAATCTTATCTTTTAGCTTCAGAGATGAACGAATTTATATAAAATTATGGCTTGAAAGGTCTAATTCACTAAACTTGTGTGTGTTTGTTTGGAGGCAGTGCAAAGGAGGACAATGTTTATCCAAACACAATCAACACCAAACCCTTCTTCTCTGATGTTTAATCCTGGCAAGCCAGTCATGGAAGTTGGAAGCGCAGATTTTCCTAATTCTCGTTCAGCTATGGGTTCACCGTTGGCCAAAGCCATTTTCGCCATTGATGGTATATTTCTTTGTCTTTTGCTACATACATCTGTTCCCTCTTGTGATCTGTGTTTTCGTTCTTTTGTGACCAAGATTCTGTCTTTGTTACCTTCTTGATGCAGGTGTTGTTCGAGTTTTCTTTGGGTCCGATTTTGTCACTGTAACAAAGTCAGATGATGTAACATGGGATCTCCTCAAGCCTGAAATCTTTGCAGTTGTAATGGACTTTTACTCTTCTGATCAGCCTTTGTTCCTTGATTCACAAGCTGCAGCTGCCAAGGATACTGCCATTAACGAGGTAAATTCTTGATATCGTTTCTCTCCTTGGGCCCTTAATGTTGAGAATTTATGTGGTTCGCCATGTTCGCCAAAAATTTGGTAGATATGATGACATCAAAGCCAATACTAACAAGTGTTTTCTGCTACTCAGGATGACTCTGAAACTGTAGCAATGATCAAGGAACTCTTGGAGACTCGCATCCGACCATCAGTCCAAGATGATGGAGGGGACATTGAGTATTGTGGATTTGATACGTAAGCTCTTCTATGAGTTATAGAAATTGGTGTAGAAGATCTCCTTCTTCTCTTTTATATCTTTATCGAAGCTATATGTTTTGATCAGGGAAACTGGTATAGTGAAGCTTCGAATGCAAGGAGCTTGTAGTGGGTGTCCAAGTTCATCTGTGACTTTGAAATCAGGGATTGAGAATATGCTGATGCATTATATATCCGAGGTAAAGCTGATAACGAGAGCTCCTAATATCTATCATTTCTGTTATGCCTTAAGCTGTTGAACGGGAAATTATGATCTTGTTATAGTCTCTTGTCCTGTTTTCTAATCATCAAGATTACTCACCAAAGTGCTTTTGTGCAAAGCACAGGTTAAAGGTGTTGAGCAAGAATTTGATGGTGAAGAGGAGGGAACATCATCTGGCCCAATTGAGTAGAGTAACAGAAGCGCATTAGAAAAACTTGAGCCTTTGTTGCTGCACTTAAATATACAGAAGAATAATAAACCAGAGGTACATTAGCTTTGTCATAGTTGTTGAATTTCATCAAACCTCGGAAAACTATAGACTACTGAGGAATCATGCGTTAGGTTGTCTGATTTAAACCCAGTAATTGATTTCTTATGGATTGTAGTGGCTCGTATTGAGCATTTAACTGTATTTGAAATGGTAAAGATTTGTTGCCAAAGCTTGAGTAAGGTTTCCTGGTCGAGAAGTAGGCTGTCTTTACTGATTATAAGTTTTTTGGGGTTTTACGGATTGTAATCGCACCAGTTGACAATTTAACAACAATAATTGATTTTTTTGTTGTGTGAATTGTCTGGCTCTGATTGTGTGTTAAATGTAGTTACAGGGTAAAGATTTGTAGCCAAAGCTTGAGTAGGAGTATTTGCTGATTTAAGTTCTTTCGGGTTTTACGGTTTTTAACGCATCAGTGGAAAATTCGAGAACATTAGCAAAGGGTTTTTGTAGATTTTATCAAATATGATCATTACATACCAACTGAGAAAAATTTACACACAAAAGAGAGACACATGGGGGTGGATATATAGTTTTTGTTGGTTGACTAGTGAACTCAGTTACGGCATATCTTGGCCGTAGGCATTGTGACACAAACAGGAGCATACTTCTTCTTGGCTGCTTCTGTTCCTCTCTTGGGCTCTTCGTCGGCCATTGCCGCCTTGGCTAAGGAGCAGACAGCCGCAGCTGCAGCCGTGAAAACCATGTCCCTCCTCATCTTCATGCTCTGTTCTTGCTTCCTGTTCTCCAAGCTGGTGGTGTTCTCGCTCGTGGACGCTTTGACCACCGTGAGGCTTCGTCTGTTGCTGCCGGTGATGGCTGTGGGAAGTTTTGAGACGGCCGGGAGAAATGAAGATGTCATGGTCATCGACGCCATTGCAAATGGTAAGTTGATTCCCACGTGTGGTATCTTAATCTGTCTCTCTGTTCTTTGCTTATCTGATGAAATTTGTGATGATTGTGTTTAAAAAAGTTGGGGATATGGGGAAGAAAAAAAAAGAATTGATCTGGAGGGATTATGATCCATTTCCTTATCCAAAATATGACTTTAGAGCAAATGGGTTGTTGCCATGTGTCTTTGTGCTATCTTTGTGTGCATACCCTCTCCAAAAAGTATGCTAGACTAGAAGGTTGTATTTTGTACTGTTCATAACCTAGGTCCATTGTTGGTTAGTGAAATAGACCTTTTATTTTCTTCAAGAAAACAATTCTGTTTGTTCAAAAAACTTAAAATAATAAAAATGTAAACTTAAACGTAAAACGTGAAGAGCCCAATTCACTTCTTTGAATACCTAAATGGATGAGTAGTCACAACACACAAGTTTCTTCTGGGCTAAGCAGAAACTAGTAGAATTAATTTATGAGGGGCGGTTATTATTTATGAGGATTGAGGAGCATATAATAAAGAGTAAACGTATATTTTTTCTTCTTATTAAATGTAGTTTGAATTTGGAAATTCATATGTTGATACAACTGGTTGCACACCATATCTCAAGGAGCTTACAATTGATGAATTGATTCCATGGTAATATATAGAGTATTTATGTGGAGAAGTTTAATGGTTGGTGACGGCATTTTAAACGGTTTAGTAAAACTGAGAACAATTTTAAGCGGTTGATTAAGAATTACGAAATTGAAGTGATTTTGAATCCCCTAACAATGTTGGAATAGCAACATATATTTGGATATAATATTAGGAAAAAAAACAATATATATTTGAATAGAGTCTAAGAAAAAACATGACTCGAGTAAACAAACACTAGTCGGTTGACAAAAAAAAAAGAAAACATTAACAAAAACACCACTAGTCACTATATATTTAAGGGATATTTAATGGATTTCGAAAAAAGGAAAAAAATATAGATATAATGGGTAAATATCCAACCAATGAGGTTCTTGGTAATGGCAGAAATGTAAATAAACCGAAAAGAAGAGGAAGCAGCGGTTTCATCACGAAGAACAACACAGCTTTTATTTGAAAATGGCTCCACTTCACGAGGTTTCATCACTCTCTCTCTCTCTCTTATCTCCTCTCGCCGTAGGCTTTACTCGAGAACCAGACCCGAGAATCGCTAAACTCGGATTCATTATATATATATATATATATACATATACGTACATTGTATAAAAACACAATTTAAAATTACGAAACAATCTTTGATGATGCGCTTGAATTCTCCAAGGTTGTCTCTTTTCTTTCTCTGCTTTCGAAGTTTCGAGTGATTCTCCCTCTCTCTCTCTAGTTTGCAACGGTAACAAAAGGATTTTGTTTTCAAAATCCGACAGAGAAAGAGAGAGAGAAAGTAAAGATCAGAGCTTTCGTCTAGTCTTTCTTCTTCTGACAATCATTACCAGAAGAGACAAAAAACAAAAAAAAAACAGACAATTTTTTTTGTTGTAAAGTCGGCGGTTAAAAATGGAGAGAAGAAACGAAACGACGATGATGATGATGAAGAAATCGAAGTGGCAGTACCCACAAGTGGGTCCTCCAACGCCGAGGATTCTTCAGCTACCACGTAGGCATAGTGTTCGACGACATGCCGCAAAGGTGAAGACAACACCTTCTTCTTCTTCTTCTTCGTCTCACAAGGACCAGAGAGTGAAACTGGAGGTTCTGTTTCACCAAGAGAGGTCGTTTGATCGAGGGACATCTCCGGGACCGATTGTGACGGTGAATGATGAGGAAAAGGAGGGAAGGAGAAGAGGGAAAGTTGCAGATGGGAGAGAGATTGGTGGGTTTGATGAAGTGGAGGAAGCCAAGTGGAGGTTTCAGGCGGAGATGTTGAGATCAGAGTGTAATTTGTTGAGAATAGAAAAGGATATTGCTATGAAGAAGATTGAGAGGAGGAAGAAGCGAATGGAGAGGACGCTTAGATCTGCTGTTCATACCCTTCTCTCTGTAAGTCAAAATCTTTTAATAAACCCACTTTGGTTTGTAACTGTGATTTGTTTTTGAGTTTGAAACTGTGTTTTTTTTTTTGGTTGGTGGTTTGATTTTAGGGGAAACAGAGAATCTCAGAAGGGAAAAAAGAGAGTCAGGTTTTGGAAGATGAGATAAGCTGTTTGATTGAGAAGCTGAATGAGTTAAAGTCTCCAAAGGTTAAAGACATTGAAGTTAGAAACTGCAGACATAATTTTGACAGGCAAGCTTCTGTTTTAAGAAGAGAGCTGGAGAAGTTCGATGAAGGAGTTTCAGAAGAGGTTTGTGTTAAAGGGATTCAGAAAATGGCAGAAGCTAGCTTCTTGGTCAATCCTAACATTCTAGCTGATCAAAATGTTCTTAAGAACAATAAAGGAAATGTGAGTACCTAACAACAGTTCACTGTAAGATGGGGGCAAGTCTTTTTGCATGATCTTGATTTTTGATGTTTGTTTTTTTGTTTCTGCAGATAGATACATTGAGTAGTACAATGGAGGCTTTATCGAAAGGAGTTTTGTTAGAAAGAATGAAGAAAGAGTATGGATCGAGTCTCTTTGCACCGTCTACAAGCGTTGTCTCCCAAACCATTGATCTTCAAGATGTATCTGTACAAGACATGTATAATAAGGTAAAATTGGGGGGAAAAATGGCTTTTTTATATACATTGAGCTCAAATGAAGTTTGTGTGAAGGTGATTTTAACTCTGCGCAGGCAATTAAAGTGAATGAGGAAAAGCAAGACTGTTCTAGACACTGCAAGGCTGTTATGAGGAAAATCGCAGATGAAGTAAGAGCAGAAGCAGAGCAATGGTCACAAATGCAAGAAATGTTGGGTCAAGTGAGAAATGAAATGGAGGAACTTCAGTCTTGTCGTGATTTCTGGCAAAACCGTGCTCTCGATTCAGATTCTCAGATACAAAGTCTACATTCCTCGGTAAAGATAGAATTATACACCATAGATTCTTCTCGATATAGCATAAGTTGCTGTTGACTAAGCAAATGTCAAAAAATCCTCTTTTTATGTATCTGTTTAGGTTGAAGGATGGAGAAGGAAGGCGTTATCATCTGAAGCAAAGTTGAAAAACCTACAAGCAGAGGTTTGTGGATTACAAGAAGATATCGAGAGATTGAGGAAGGAACATAAGTTAGAACCAGAGAAGAACAAATTGCCATCAGAGTCAGAGAAGAGGGTATTGATTTGTAGGTTGAAAGAAAACCGACATAGCAACAATGGAGATTGGTCTAAGTCCAGTGAAGGAAGAACAACAACAAAACCGTCTTGTTCAAGACCGCCTTTAAGGGAGATTAAGAACGTTTCAGTCACAGCAAGGCAAAGAAACTCCAATGTTATGAAAATGTAATTTTTTTTTCTGACAACAATAAAAAAAGGGATTTTTCTGGTTTTTTCGCTGGTAAATAAATTTGCAACTTGAGTGAGTTCAATTTATGTTTTTAACAATCTCAAGCTCGCAATTATAAAAATCAGAGTATTATTGAACATTCAAAAACAAAGTACGGATTTTAGTTTTAAAACGAAATTAGTTTATGAATAAACGTAAGGAGGAGATTAAGAAGAGTCACACACTTGGTAGGGAAACATCCCGAGGAAAACTCTAACGAACTTTCCCAAAAATGGCGCGCATGAAAGCAAAAAAGAAAAACAAAACAGAAAAAAAAATTAAAAGGCAGAAAAGTTAAGAAAATCTCAGTTTTGAAGATTTCAAACACAGAGAAAAAAAGGAGAGGATTGAGAAGATCTGAAAGAAGAATGAGCAGCGAAGAAGAGAAGACGGTGTGTGTGACAGGAGCTTCAGGTTACATTGCTTCATGGATCGTTAAGCTTCTTCTTCTCCGTGGCTACACCGTTAAAGCCTCCGTTCGTGATCCAAGTCCGTCTCTTTTCTCTATCTAATCTCTTCCAAAACTATTTATCTAACCTAAACAACGGATCTAATAATTTCATTTAGGTTTAGACTTTAGATAGAAGATTCATGTTCAAGATTCGGGTTTTTAAAAAAAGAACTATGAATAGATTTCTTAGAATCTAATATTTTTCGGATGATTCAAGATTCATAGATTGGTTCTAATATATATATATATATATATATATATATATATGTGAGTAAATGGTTCAATGGAACAGATGATCCGAGGAAAACAGAGCATTTGCTTGCGTTGGAAGGTGCAGAGGAAAGGCTTAAATTGTTCAAAGCAAACCTGTTAGAAGAAGGCTCTTTCGATTCAGCAATCGATGGATGCCAAGGAGTTTTCCACACTGCATCACCATTCTATCACGACGTCAAGGACCCTCAGGTCTCTCTCTATCTATTTATCTATCTATCTTTTTGCGCACTCTTCTCTTGGTATTGAATCTTTCATTTTTGATTGATTTATGCTTTATCTTTTACAGGCTGAGTTACTTGATCCAGCAGTGAAAGGAACAATCAATGTTCTAAGCTCTTGCATGAAGACTTCCTCTGTTAAGAGAGTCGTCTTAACCTCATCTATAGCAGCTGTGGCTTTCAATGGAGTGCCTCGAACACCCGAAACCATAGTTGATGAATCTTGGTTCGCAGATCCTGAATATTGCAGAGCTTCCAAGGTAAAATCAAAACAATTTCTGGTTGCTTGATCCGGAAGCTATCTCTCTGTATTTGCTGAAACTGCCACTCTGTATTTGTTTCTTCTTCAAAAGCTATGGTATGTACTCTCGAAGACATTAGCTGAAAACGCAGCGTGGAAATTCGCTAAAGAGAACGATATACAGCTGGTTTCGATAAATCCAGCAATGGTGATTGGTCCTCTCTTACAACCAACACTTAACACTAGTGCTGCAGCAGTACTAAGCTTGATCAAAGGTAAGCAAAAACATAGCATTGGTTTGATATTCAAAACAATTTTAAAAGATATGTTTCTTGAAGAAAATTGAATTACATTTTCAGGAGCACAGACGTTTCCTAATGCCACATTCGGGTGGGTTAACGTTAAAGATGTAGCAAACGCTCACATTCAAGCGTTTGAGAATCCAACTGCTAATGGAAGATACTGTTTAGTGGAGAGAGTTGCTCATTACTCTGAAGTTGTTAACATCTTGCATGATCTTTACCCTGATTTTCAACTCCCTGAGAAGTAAGTTTTTTTTTTGGCTTTGATGTTAGAAACAGAGAAAAAAACAGAGTAAACAGAGCCTCTCTATTTTAAATGGAAATTAAGAGTGAAAAAAATCCATTGAAATTGTTGCAGGTGTGCAGATGAAAAGATATATATTCCAACATATAAAGTGTCTAAAGAGAAAGCAGAGTCTCTTGGGGTTGACTTTGTGCCATTGGAGGTTAGCATTAAAGAGACTGTAGAGAGTTTGAGAGACAAAGGGTTCATCAGATTCTGAGTTTCATTCCCCAAAAAAATTCAAACCAGAACCAGACTTGGATCTATTGGTGTCTGAGTCCCATTTTTACTTTTATTTATTTGTTTGTGTTTATTTTCTCCTTACTTTAAATATGGAGTGTGTTGCCTATGATATTATGAACATTTTTTTCATCATTTTGAACTGATGGAATTAAACTATTTTCTCAATGGAATGTGTATTTGCAGGAAGTTTCCTTTATGAAGTGGATTCAACTTTTTACAAATATATTATAGGAAATAGTCAAATTTTGTTACCTTTATCTTTTCCTTCAAATTGTAGCAAAAAGTAGTAGGTCTACATTTATTTAAGATTCGTAGTAGTTGACATTTCTTAGACTCGTACCACTCACTATTCTTTAATGGTTCGAGGCTTAGAGCTATTGATGACAAATTCATTCAATTGGAATATGGACACATGTTTGCTGGAAAAAAGTAAATTGTAGATTACGTGTGCCTATTTGTTGGGTTAATTAGAGTAAGTAAATTATAATGTATAATTGCCTAACTTGAAATGAATTTATATCAACCATTGATGTTTGCCTCATCATCCTCTCATCACAAACGTTATGATTAGTAGTCTCTCAGTTTTATAAAGGCTATCGTTTACAGGATTTTTTGTTTTTCCGACAAAATTGTATATTGATTTTCAATGCAAATTTCTAAACTAATTAACTGAATCTCAACTTTAATGCAGAAAGTGGGGTTTTATTTTGTGAGATGGTGAAAAGAGCTGACTTTTACAAAAAGTAGGTGAATTTTAAGATCTAAAGATTTTTATTCAACCAATAATATGATCATTGTGTAGTGCATGTTTTATAGAAGACTCCTAATTAATAGAGGATAATGATTTTAGATGATCCAGTTGCTATCATCCTTCACCTCTGATTCCTCCGACCATGTTTGATGCACATGTTCCCACACAAATCCTTCGTTCTCCTGCAGATTCCAAGACAATGTCAATCCTCAAGAAGCCGAATCTACTCTTATACAAGCTTGATACTTATACTACTAATTAATGACCTCTTAATCATCTCTTACCTTTGAGGTGAATTTGACAGTTGTTGTGCAGCATTTCCTTTCATTCCCTGCGATATCCACAATCCGAATATCAACGATTTCACCGTAACAGAATTGGTTAGTTAAAATGTGGATTGTGTGAGTGACATAGTAAAGCTTTGATTACCAGTTTGTTCCCATTTATCAAACTTTACTATCCAAGTCCCATGACTAGTGTCTGTTGCAAGAACCTGATCTGTCCAAACCCGAAACTTCTTGGCCTTTTTGTCTCCATGATACTTTCCAAGCTCATCAATAGTGTCTCTGAGAGACTTTTCAGCACCAGATGGATGAACAAAGACACCAGCAGGATGCTGAAGTGATTTGACAAAGGACCAAAAAAAGATATTAGTCTCTTGGATACAGTAAGATATGAAGATAAAGAGAGAAACAAGGTTACACTCACACATGAAGCTTTGAGGCTTGCTGTATATGTCTCACAGTTCTCAACTTCACCTCGTCTCCATCTCTCACAGAACAAGAAAAACTTCACAACCAAATGACCAGGGTTCACATTATCCACCTTGCATTCTAAGAAGTCAGAAACATCTCTCGGAGAAAGGTTTGGACCGAGTTTAAAATGACCAATCGCTTGTATAATCCCACCCGCACACCTCTCACTCGCGTGGATTATCTTTGAATTTTCTTTCCCATTTTCAGCATACCACTCCAACAACTCTTCTTGAGCATTGCTTACCTGTAAAGGCAAGAGCAGATTTAAAACATTGAAAACATAAAAACGGATATTCAGATGGTGAAACTTGAAACCAACCATGACACCATAAACGTTAGGAATAGTAAACAGTTCAGTATCGTTTCCAGAGTCCCCACAAGCAAGAGTGTTAACAGGAATTTTTCCTTGAGTCTTGAGTTTGTTCAGAAGATAATCAAGAGCTTGTCCCTTTCCTCCTCCTTTTGGTAAAACATCCAAAGCTCTTCCTCCACTGAAAATGATTTTGATATCCAACTGAAAACAAAGACCAAATTAAAGACACACATCATATATAACAAGATGTGAAGTAATAAGCTCACAGGATTAACTAATCTTACCCCACGTTTCTCTAACCGCTGATATAGCTCCTTGGTCACTGCCTGAGCCTTACTCTTGTCAATGAAAAAGCTAACCTTGTTTGGCCTCTGATCAGCTTCTCTCTGGCATTCAATGATCCCTTCATTTTAAGCCTTGACATTTATAATGGTGACTTTGTTTTGTGTTAAGAAGATCAAGTACCTGAAGAGTTAACTCAGGGAACTTGCTGGTTTCTTCTTCTACAATTCCTCGGTTCCATTTATGGTTCATGATTTCAAACCAAGTATCATCAGTAACCATGGAGTTACCATAAGCTATCTCAGTTCCCACAGAGGTGATGATAACATCAGGAGTTAACAATGGTCTCTCTTTCCTAAGTTTTTTGAACAACTCTAGTGATCTTCCAGTTGAGAAAACAAGAAGAGAATCATGGCGATATGTGTCTTCCCACAATGAATTGAACCTCAAAAGAGCGAGATTTTCAGGATCATTATGATGATCGACCTACAATATACAAAAATCGTGTACACATCAATCAATAAATCAACAGAAGAAGATTCAGAGATTTAGAGCAAAAACACAAATTCATCAATTGCCTTTTTTTTTAATTTTTTTACCATTGTATCATCAAGATCCGAGACTATCATCAGACGAGGAGGAGATGTTAGCCTCTCCATGGTTTTTAAAATCGATCCTGAAGATTTTTGAGTTAGCGGCAAATCGTTTAGATTCAAATATAAGATCACAGTAATCATGAACTCAGATCATCCAGAGCCATCGAAATTTGATCATTTGGATTTGGTTTACCAAAACATCGCAATACATTCCGATTCCTAATCTAAAACGTTAAACGATTAATTAGAACGTTGAGTAAATGTTCAGAGAAAGAGTTGAGATCTCAGACAAACCTGAGGAATCGAAGAAGCTTTGCTTTGTGAGGAATATTGAGAGAGAAAAGAGTGAGCGCAGAGCGGGGAAGAGCAAGTCAACCTTTTCCTAACATTAATTTAAAATATTGTTTTTTCCACGAAATATTATTTTGTTTCTTTCTTTGTCTTCTATACGTATATTATAAAACATTTGACAGCAATATATTAATATATTATTATATAAAAAAGAATAATTCAAAGTTATATAAGTGTCGAGTTGAACGATTAGATCTAGACTTGTATTTAATTAATTTTAAAGTATATTTTAACTAATTTTGTTCAAAAGAAACTTTTATAATTAGTTTTTAATTGTAAAAGGTAAAGAGAAGATGGAAAATTATGTTTAAATCAAATAGAAAACAAGAAATAAAAAAATAAATAAATAAAACCACAGTTCATATTTAAAATGAAAAATAATTTTAGTTTAGCATAAAAACATAAATAATATATTACAATTTTTAAAAACTAAAAGTCTAAACCTTATAAAAAAATACAAATTAGTATTCTTGTTTAAATTAAAGAAATAAAAAAATAGAATACAAACCTAAAAAGAAAGAGAATTCTAATTTTTTCATCTCTATAAAACCAGTTTGATAGATTCTCCAATTTACAATCAAATTTTTTTATTAATTTTTGTGCTCTAGTTTTTTATTTTATTCATGAATTATAAAATATAAATTAAAAATCCGCATATATGCGGGTACTTATTTAGTAATATATAAAACTCAACAAACAATTGAAATAATGTTTTATTTGATAAATTAACAATATATTTATTTAGGAAAAAAAATTTCTCTTAATATAGCAAATAAAAACTTTTCAACGAATGTTCAAATGCAATTATGTGTGAAAAGAATTTTCTTTATTTTACATTTGACTATAACTCTAAAGAAGTGAATTAGAAGATTCTATACAAATTTGTATCTAAAGAAATAAATTAGAAGATTCTGTTCCATTTTATGTATGTTTGTGTTTTATATATAAATTTGGTCAGCCTAAATGAAGAGAAAATCGTAAACAATAAGAAAAAGGATATCATAAAATGGCTATCACCAAGAAAAAAATAGTTGCATTTGCTCTCACCATCCTCATTGTCATATCTTTTGTCCATTGCCGTACCTCTGATAGCACTTCTGGTACTGGTTTATTATACTCTCTACTTTTTTTTCTATATTTAGAGACATAATCTTATTGTTGTGATGAATGTATATATAGGTTTAATGATTATTATTCATTAGGTTTTGGCATAAAGGAGAGTGATTATAGTTGCTACACATCAGCTCCGTGTGAAGGCGGAGGGGAAAGAGGCTGTACCGCCTTTTGTACGAGGATGCACCTGAAACCAGGGCCAGGCCAAGGCCGTTGTAATCCTGGCAACATATGTTGTTGTGCTATCAATTAAGTGTTCTTCTCAGATGAAATCATCTATACAATTTAAATGATATAGCTTTCACGCGGTTTTTATAATATTTATTTAAAAAACTTAAAGTGAACAAAAACTTGTACCAAGTCAAAAATTAATCTGATGAACAACCTAGCCGCTAAAATTATAGCCGTAACTAAGCCCATCCCGCATGCTTTCGGTCCTTCTTGACACCTGATCTTCTTCTTTGCAGCGTTATAAAGTTTGTTAGTTTCAGGGACATGTATCTGCGGGTCTTAAAAACTAGTATTATATAAACTACAGTGGTGTAAACTAAGTTATTTCAATATATTAAGATTGCCTAACCATATATATATATATTTGATGTAAAAAAAACCATATATATATTTAAATAAAGTATTCTAAGTATTTTGATCCACCCAAAAATTATGGAGTAATTTTAATATATTAATATGTACTCTAATAATGACTTATATCTTGGAAACCTACATGTTCAAAAGTCATCACTATTTATTCTGTACGTAAAACCAAGAAAAAAAAACAAATTGTTCTGTTCAATGCTAGTTTTTTTTAGGGTACGAAGTGATGACTATAAATCTTTAGTATTATTAAGCATTGATATTTTGGCTATCATTGCTTACCATCATCCATGATCTTTAGCATTATTTATTGTTTGTACAATTGTAAGCTTTTTAAACATCAAAATCATTACGTTCTCAAACTCCTCATTATGATGTACCAACTAGCTAAATAGAAGCTTAAAATCACAGGCCTAAAAGGTATTTTCTCTCTTAATCACTTCAAATTTCAGACAGAAGAACCTAAGTCTGATCGATTCAACATGGAACATTTCTTTGTTTATTGAATGGATTTATTCACATATTTAATACAAATATGTACGTGTTAAACGATGAGTGGAGCTAATAGTACAAAAAGAATAAGAGTTTGGGACTCCATTAAAGGAGAAGAAAGAAACCTCCAATAAATTGCACGTCTCTCTCTTCCTCACCGACCCCATTAAATTCACACAACAATAAGAAGAGGCAATTATACCAAATTCATCATCATCTCGGTTATCCAACCAAATCAATAAATCATAACCACACACACACAAAAACAATAAAAGGAAAAGGAAATTAATTTAAAACTCACATTTATATTCGTTCATTTGCTCTCTAGTCTCTACACAAAGAAGAAAACCAGAAGTTGTAATTCACTAACCACCAAATAAAATGGCTTCTCCATCATCACCAATAACTCTCAAGAACCCAATATTCTTCACTTCTTTCCCTCACAACATCTTCAAAACCAAACCTAAAACCCTAATCTTGACAACAAAGATCAAGACTTGTTCCATCATTTGCTCAACGTCATGCACAAGCGTAAACTCTTCAACAACTCAACAGAATCTGAAACAGAATCAAACCCTTGTTTCAGACAACAAACGAGAAGAAGAGAAGGCACTAGTCAAAGAAGAAGGAAAAGCAGCACTCGAAGTAGAAGAAGAAGTGAATCTTCGAGAGATTTGGAGAGAAGTACAAGGTTGTAATAACTGGGAAGGACTACTAGATCCAATGAACAATCATCTTCGAAGAGAGATCATACGTTACGGAGAATTTGCTCAAGCTTGTTACGACTCATTCGACTTCGATCCTCACTCTAAATACTGTGGCTCTTGCAAATACCATCCTTCCGATTTCTTCCCAAACCTTGACTTAAATCTCCACAAAGGCTACACCATAACACGTTACCTCTACGCAACGTCCAACATCAACCTCCCAAACTTCTTCCAAAGATCAAAACTCAGCTCGATTTGGAGCCAACACGCGAACTGGATGGGTTACGTTGCAGTAGCTACGAACGAAGAAGAAGTGGCTCGGCTCGGGAGACGTGACATAGTCATCGCTTGGAGAGGCACAGTCACTTATCTCGAATGGATCTATGACTTGAAAGATATTCTTTGTTCAGCTAACTTTGGAGACGACCCTTTGATCAAGATTGAATTAGGGTTTCATGATTTGTATACCAAGAAAGAAGATTCTTGCAAATTCTCTTCCTTTTCGGCTCGAGAACAGGTTTTAGCCGAAGTCAAACGGCTTCTTGAGTACTACGGTACCGGAGAAGAAGGTCACGAGATAAGCATCACGGTGACAGGTCATAGTCTCGGCGCAGCTCTTGCTTTGGTCAGTGCTTATGATATCGCAGAGCTAAACTTAAATCACATACCGGAAAAGAACTACAAAGTTCCCATAAGCGTGTTCTCCTTCTCGGGACCTCGAGTAGGTAACCTTAGGTTCAAGGAAAGATGCGAAGAACTAGGGCTTAAAGTCCTGAGAGTGGTAAACGTGCACGACAAGGTACCTTCCGTTCCAGGGATATTTACAAACGAAAAGTTTCAGTTTCAAAAGTATATCGAAGAAACAACATCATTCCCATGGAGCTACGCGCATGTAGGTGTCGAGCTTGCATTGGACCACAAGAAAAGCCCGTTTCTGAAACAGACTAAGGATTTGGGATGCGCACACAACCTAGAAGCTTTGCTTCATTTGGTAGATGGATATCATGGGAAAGAAGAAGGAGGAGAGAAGAAGTTTTGTTTGGTGACAAAGAGAGACATAGCTTTAGTGAACAAGAGTTGTGATTTCTTGAGAAGCGACTATCACGTGCCGCCTTGTTGGAGACAAGACGAGAACAAAGGGATGGTCAAGAACGAAGATGGACGGTGGATTTTGCCGGATCGACCACGGCTCGAGCCTCATCAACCTGAGGATATTACACATCATCTTCAAAAAGTTATTGGGAAATTTAACGACGGTGATCCTAAACCCACCATCACAGTCAAACGCCTTGGTCAAAATTAATTTTTTTTAAATAATTAAATCATATGATAAGGATGCTTTGTTTTGGAATTTTGTGAATGCTCAAGGATCCAATTGTGAATAGACTATCCGAACCTGTCTGTTTTGTCTGCATCACAACACAATTTGAATGTGTGGGTCGGGTGTATAAGAAATTGAATATGCTAGTTAATTACGTCTTTCAAAACACTTTCATAATTATGGAGATTTTCTGTATTGAAAAATATATGATTAGCTAAGACATGAGAACCAATGTCAACCTTCACTAGTTATGAACTAACCGGTAAATTCATACAACTATACAAGTAAGGTGGAAGAAAAGTGGACCACAACAAATTGCATCCTTAAAGTTATCTAAGTGGTCTAACCACTCAAAGTAAAAAAAAATCTTGATGATGAATCTCTGTTTTCCCCACACATGATATAACAATAGCATGCAACAACGATGTGCGCACGATAGAAATTGAGGGATTCAGAGTTGCCATCATGCGCCTAATTAGGCTTTTCAAGGTCCAGAAACCAGAGTGACCATAATATAGCTATGCCAGATTTGATTTTACCTTCTTTTTCTATTGAAAAATAGAGAAAGCGTTAAAAATAGAATGAGAGATAGATACCTTTCGTGCTATAAAGCTTTCATAAATCGTGATCATATCTAAGCCACAAAAGCCTTAATGGATCAGAGCACAAAACAATGCTCAATGCATTAGTCCAAAAGTCACACAAATATGGATTTTCCTTAGACATTTATGATATCTGTAATAAATAGAAAACAAAAGACATAAGTCAACAAAAAATATTCTTGTGACCGTCTAAGCGAAGAAATATTAGTTACCGAAAAACACTTGTTAATTCTTTTTTAATCGAAAAAAACTTGTTAATTCTCAAGAACAAATCTAGTGAAACTTAAAAGAGATTAAAAATAATTTTAAATTCATCTAAAAGCTTATGTTAGGTTGAATTTTACAAAAATCAACTAAATGTGGATGTGATCAATGAAGCACTTGGTTTTTCGAGGAATACTGTAAACTCTGAGTGGTAATACCAAATTCTACTTTAGTGGTAATTTGGATTCCAGTAAACACAATGAACCTTTTCGCACAATGGTCGTCTCTCTCAACTTGATGTGGATGATTCCAGGAAGAAAACAAAGACACACTTTAGTGGAATTTTAAGAGGCAACACACATTTTAAATGTCAACTTAATAAAAGATCATTTAGGCAAAGTTTTTCAAAACTTATTTGATAAATCGTGAAAGTTATGGATCTATAATTTTTTTTATGATGTTCAGGATTAGCCGTGCTAATATATACCACGCTTAGGGCGTAAACCACCCTATCTAAATAGAGTTGAACTAGTGACTTTGAGGATTCTTAAATACCTTGATAACTCAATATTTTCTAAGGTTAACATGATAAAAGTTTAAGTTAAACAATGAATGAAAAAAGGAAAAAAGGATGTATTTGATATAAACTTGTGACTTGACATTTACAATGAACCATCTACAACTTATATAGTGGGGAGATGATTCACGGTGACTCTAGAAACCTTAGGACTGTTCATGATCGTCGATTTATAAAGGAACAATTTTAGCCACAAGCTAACAATTCAAACTTGTTCTGAAGGTCTACCGATACAGTTGGCTTCAGCATTTGCAGGTTCGTACAGTTCTGCTTTTGAAGCAGAGAAGACACATTACTCTGTTTTGTTTGCTGACTGAAGGTTGGGCCTTGGCGAGTATCTTCACGGTCCATCTTCGTGAGGCCCTAGTGTTCTGCTTCATGACACAATCGAGCTGTTTTGCTATCACCCTCCCGCAAACTTGTGCTTGGGAGAATCCCAACACCGAGTTTGGCTCTCAGATCCGTGAATGATTTCCGTGGTAGGAACTTCGTGAATATGTCTGCTATCTGCTCAGCTGCCGGAATGTGTTTGATCTTGATAAGACCAAGGGCAACACGTTCTCGAATGTAGTGGTAGTCGACTTCAATGTGTTTAGAGCGACTGTGAAACCCCGGATTTGCAGATAACTGGACTGCAGACTTGTTGTCACACTTTAGTAGAGCTGGTGTTGGCTGAGGAATCCGAAGGTCTCGTAGAAGATAGTTGATCCAGGTCAACTCCGCAGCTGTATAAGCAAGAGCCCGATACTCTGCCTCTTTAGATGATCTCGATACAGTTGGCTGACGTTTTGCACACCACGAGACCAGATTATCACCTAGGAAGACACAAAAACCAGTAGTGGATCGGCGAGTATCTTTGCAGCCTGCCCAATCGCTGTCACTATAAGAGATGAGGGACAAAACACTGTTTTGACAGAGCTGTAGACCATAATGAGCTGTTCCGCGAATATATCTCAAGATACGTTTTAGAAGAGCTAAGTCTGATTGTGTTGGTGAGTGCATGCGCTGACAAACGAAGTTTACAGCAAACTGAATATCAAGACGAGACAATGTCAAGTATTGGAGTTTACCTGCAATGCTCCTGAAGTATGTAGGCTCTGGAAACAAGATTGTGTCTTTAGACGCATCATCAAGTCGAATTGGCAGGGGTGTTGGCATCGGATTTTCCAAGAACACTTGGGCCTCACAAAGATGGGCCGTGAAGATACTCGCCAAGGCCCAACCTCTAATCAGCAAACAAAACAGAGTAATGTGTCTTCTCTGCTTCAAAAGCAGAACTGTACGAACCTGCAAATGCTGAAAGCGCTTGGGGAACATTACTGCTTTGGTAAGCATGGTCGAATCTGTCCCAGCAGTCAAGGGCAGTGTGACCAGTTCGGCCACAGATTTGGCACACAGGTCGGGTATTTGACCTTCCTGCAGGCTGAGAAGGGTTAACATGTTGAGGAAACCCCCGGCCTCTTGTTGAGTAACCTCCACGACCACGGTTGTTGTATCTGTTGTTTCCTCGTCCACGCTGACCAGAGTTGTTGTAGTTTGAGCGCTGAGTCTGAAAGGCAGTGAAGGGTTTTGTTTCTGCAGGTGTCTCATACGATTTAAGGCGAGCATGGAACGCAGATACCTCAGAAACAACATCGGTGAAAGTAGGAGCAGGTTGCCTTGACATTGAGTTTTGGATAACGGTTGAGATCGGGTCGTAGTCTCTAGTTAACCCATTCAGAAAAGTGAATATCTTCATCGAGTCTTCAACAGGTTTACCGATTGAACTGAGCTGATCACAGAGAGCTCGGAACTCGCAGCAGTAAACAGTAAAGTCGCTATCTTTAACTTTAAGGAACTGGAGGCGACGACGTAGATCAAACTCTCGGGCCACTGAGCTCTTATTAAAGTTGTCCGCAAGAGCTAGCCACACCTCACGTGAGGTGCTGAGACCATGAACATACCCAAGGACCTCTTCAGTGAGAGTTCCAAACAACCATGACTGGATGAGTTGGTCCGTATAAGTCCAGGCTTCTAGTTCTGGATTCGCGGAGATGACTTGTGCACCATTGACGATGGTGGTGACAGTAGCAGCTGGAGCTGGTGTTTGGCCGTTGACAAAGCCAAGAAGCCTCTGACTACGGAGGAGTGCTTCAAACTGGACCTTCCATAACAGATAGTTGGTTTCATTGAGTTTTAGTGTAACCGAACTCGAGACATGAAGACTAGAGGGAAACGGGTATGGATCTTGAGCTTCTGCCATGACAGCAACCGGTTAGGGTTTTAGAAGTGCTCTGATACCATGAATTGAAAAAGGAAAAAAGGATGTATTTGATATAAACTTGTGACTTGACATTTGCAATGAACCATCTACAACTTATATAGTGGGGAGATGATTCACGGTGACTCTAGAAACCCTAGGACTCTTCATGACCGTCGATTTACAAAAGAACAATCATAGCCACAAGCTAACAATTCAAACTTGTTCTGAAGGTCCACCGATACAGCTGGCTTCAGCATTTTCAGGTTCGTACAGTTCTGCTTTTGAAGCAGAGAAGACACATTACTCTGTTTTGTTTGCTGACTGGAGGTTGGGCCTTGGCGAGTATCTTCACGGCCCATCTTTGTGAGGCCCAAGTGTTCTGCTTCATGACACAACCGAGCTGTTTTGCTATCAAACAAATCGTAATTCTAAATCGAGCTAGCACATTACCTCGATTTCCAGAGTGAAGAGTAGTTAACTCCGACGAATGTTCCACAAACCCAAGACAAAATTCCAGCGATGATGGCGATCGATGAAGATTTTTTCTGAGAATTGTAAACTTTCTGGAAAGTTTGTGAGGGAAAGATAGAATTAGAGCTTTAATCGTGTTTGAGTTTAATGAATGCTATATTTGTCAATATGGAAAATAGGGACTATTTTTGAGAAGATTTAGTTTTTTGGAGAAATTTTAAGAATTGCCTTATGAAATATTTCTTGTTAAAGTTAATATTAAAGTAGTTTTCAAACAGAATTAAAGAAAAACATATAGAGTATTTGGATGCAATGATTAAAATACTATTTGTAGAATTCAAATGTGTATCACTTTTAATAGTTTAGATTTTTCATTTTTAATTTGTCATTTTTTTGCTTATGTTTTGCTTATGTTTTGCTTAGTTTTATTTTCTTTTTTACTTACTTTTGTTAATTCTCAAGAATCAAAACTGGATGTGTGTATTATGAGTATTTTACTAATGTTATTAATGTGTATTATATAAGTATTATAACTTTCTTAGGGTGAGGTTTACTGGTTTATAGTCGATTATATGCAGACACGCTCGGTGTTAGTGGTATAAGACCAGAAATATATATCTTTACTTTGCAAATTTCTTACCCGTTATTCTCATTCTCTAGCAGATCTCTCATTCTCTCTCTATAGCATTCCAAATTTCACTTTCTCGCCCAGAAAACAAAAAGAATAAACAATCTCCCAATGGTAAGAACCTCTGTCTCACTCTCTTCTGTTCCTGTATCTCCATTCTGCAATAACAGTTTCTAACAAACTGATCTTTGTTTGTTTTGACTTGAATTCTTTTTAATGTTCAGCTGGGAGATTGCCTCACGACAAAAACATCTCGTGGAGAGGCGACTCCTGCCTGAGAGAGGGAGTATATCCAGGCAGCCTCCACACAGACTTGGCGGGAGGGTATTAGGAAGGGGTGATTCAATCAAAACGAATTATCCCACGCCGTTTGCTATGACGATGCT